ATCACTAAATAACTTACTGTAAAATCACTTACCTTTGTTGGAGTTTAATTTTCATTGTTTTCTTGGTATTATGAAACACAAATTCATGTTCTCCACAAAATGTAATAATTTCTTATCAGAGTAAAATGTTTGTCTACCAACCAGGAAATCAAAACAAACACCTGACCAAGCATTAAATTTCCCTCAAACTACAAAAAATTGACCTCTCTAAAATAAGGGATATTTTACAGTACATGAAGTTTCATGTGGTTTCTCTTGACCCTAGTTCAAGGTCATATTTGAAAGGTTAGACAATAAAGATCAATGTATCAAGAAGTCAGTCTGTTTTGTGACTTAATTTTGAGAGTTGTGGGTTGAACAAACTTTCGTTTAAACTGTCAGATGCATTGACCTTTACAGTAGTGGTACATTTATGTCCTTGCATCAAGCCCTATTACCTTGAGTTCATGGGTAAATGTGAAAACAACTGTTAAATATTAATAGAGAACTTTTAAAATTAATTTTCTTTTAAAAATAAATTCTATTCAAATTATAACTCAGAGGGCACTGTGACCTTGATTTTTGAGGTAGGCCCTTTAATAAAGGACACATAACACAAGGTCATCTATTCCTGTTTTTTAAATGATTTTTTATCACATTGATTTGCACGAAGGCCTTCTGGTTTGGCCCTAATTTTAAAGTTGTAAAGTCATACACAAGTTATTACAAAGTATCCAATTTCTAAATAATTTGTTACTGAAAATGCAGACTTCAAGTTATTGAAATCACATATTTTATCTTTGTGGACTTAAATAGAAATTGTACTTTCCAAATACCAAATTGAAAGTTTCTATGAATTTTTGATGGTGCAGTGTTAAATTTAGAATTCTATTGCCATCAGCATTATATAAAAAATGCACGCTGGTTTAATGAGACGAAGAATTTAAAATTGAGGTGACAAATGAAATGAATGCAACATAACATTGTATTTATGTTCATGTACCTGGCACGTTTCTTGAGAAATCTATCTCAGATTTTTTCTTCAATAAACTTCTTATGTTGAGCATCACACCTTCCAAATCTATTTTCATGAAATACAGTCTAACCTCATTATCTTGAACTTGATGGGGTTGAAAAGAGATATTTGAGGATTCGATATATTGAGGGTATAATATATATTATAATAAATAAAAAATGCTTGCATGGGACTTCTAAATCGCTTTGACATATCCGTAGTATTTCAGATACAGTGTATTTGTACATGTGTTCGAGATGCCAAATTTCAGCTGCATAAGCATTAATTTACAAAATTCAAATATTTTTAGCAGAACAAAGAATTATGTAGATGCAAAAACTGTTTAACAAAGTAGAAAAAATGGGACTTAATGATTCAAAAGTCAATTACATGCAGTCAGACCTCATTATCTAAAACTCTATGAGACTGAGAAAAAAACTTTGAAAAAGGTTTGAGATATTGAGGTTAAAAAATTGCAAAGGAAACGTTTGGCACTCCCAACTCAACATATCCATGGTATTCGAGATACCAATGTTGAACTATAATTTTGATAAAGTCAAACTACTCGGTACATACTCATTATTGCCAGGTTCAGGCAGCGGTTTTATAAATTTTAGCTTCAGAGGTGCACTATGATATAACCTGGAAGTTTTAGATAGGGCAGCATATATATATATATATATATATATATATATATATATATATATATATATATATATATATATATATATATATATATATATATATACACATATGTTATATGTATTAATAAATAAAACAACTCAACAATTTGCAGTAATTTCCTCCCATTTCATCACAGTATATCACATAATGAAATGTAATCATATCATTAAGGTACTAGGAGCATTTTACAACCTCCTGTAATCACTTTTGCAAGGGTTATAATAAGCTGCTTGCAGTAACTGCAGTTATATGATGATAACTCAAAAACCACAGCAAATTAAATAAAGTCTACAAAGTAACAGCCATAATTGAAAGATAACAGTAATTTTAACAACAGCTTTGCTAAGTAGGCAATCAAAAGTCTGCATGTATAGAGGGTCCATACAGGGTATAGCATAATTGCTTGGAGGAGGAGAACACATTTTTAAAATTTTTTTTACTAGAAAGCATTATGCACAGCTAGAGTGTTTGATTTAAATGTTAGCTGCATGAGGTGCCTTTCATCTAAAGGTATATAAACTCAATAGATCTACAGGCATTGACGATGACCCGTATTGATTTTTAAGTGTGAATGGCTAATGCTTAAATTAAACAAAATCACAGAGACTTATGAAAGGAGCCCCCTGTATTTTGATCTGTCTAGTTGGGTGGGACCTGTAATATGTCCAAAGGCCCCCTGTGGCATTTTTGTGACCGTCTTGTTTGTAAAGCTCTTCGCTGGTGTAGACACATGCCCTTAAGTGTGCTGTGTAACAAGTTTGGGAGACCTTGCACACAAGCAAATTACATGCTAGTTATTTAGAAAGCCGGTTTGACTTTATTAGGGGCCTTCTCTATATGCAGTAAGATATATTTGTCATCCTAAATAGCTCCCCCCCTTTACTGTGTTTGATGTCCTTGTGCTAGCTTTAATTTACTCTCTCACTGTATAAGTACATACTTCAGACTGAAGAGTTAGGGTGTGCATTCGCTGCTGTATAACCGCGGTGGGGAGGATTATAGAATTGTGGAGGATTCTCAACATTTTTGTTAAAACTCTCACTGTCATTGGAAATTGATAAGGACTTTCCCTGTCAACTTCACCTCTGCAAGCCATTACCATGTTAGAAATACAGGTAAGATTACCCCCCAAAGTCAAATGACTTTTTCATGAATTTTTTTTTTCTTGACTGATCCTCTCAGTAAATTAGTTTTCGATTCTCTGCAATTCCCTTTAGCTGGGTTTTTATGAGGAATCGATAGATATTTGACAGGGCTCGATCTTAAGAAGGTTGAAGGGTTTTTGGTCTTTATAAGCTTCAGGTACTTGTTGTTTTGAAATGGAACAATGGCCTGAAAGCACAAATAATTTAACATCTGGATACTTTAGTTGTAAAATATAAAATCCTGCATCCAAATTCACAAGCGTGTAATACCAGAATTTGTAGATATAGGGCTGATAAATACATGGTTATGATTTCAGACTCTAGTGTCAAATTAAAATTCTTGCATACTTCATTAAATGACAATTACATGCCTGGTACACCACAAATACTAGGTTGGGCCGTGTAACACTTTTTAAAATATTTATCCATCTTTACCCTACTCCGCTTACAAACCCCGAATTTTACCTGTGCAAGTGGCGTGAATATTCTGTTCATAGTTTCATGAAGGTGGAATCTGGCACTAAGCACCTGTTATGATGCATGTCCCCAAAACACTAAAATTTCACTAATTTTTCAGGTAGTATTAAGTTTTTTTGGTCAATATATGGTAAAAAAAAGAGTCAGATGCATTTTGGCTTGCCATACTTAACTGTCGTGTAATTAATTGACCTAGATTTGGTTGGTGACATAGGTGTATTAACACTGAGGCATGAACTACCAGGTGAATGGAGAGAGAGAGGGGTCAGGTTTATTTATCTTTGTCGCCTACCCCACCCCAGGCAAGTAAGAATAAAAATCTTGTGTTGGAAATCTCCTTTACCTTATGATTTAGTCAACCTGAAATGGTTGAGACAGAGCCTGTCATAAAACTAAACCTCGTCAACCATACACCGGCCTAATTAACACATGATTCTACACACCAGTCAAAGGTCCAGCCACAGTTTATCTTTCTTCTCCTAAACCTCTGAAACCTCAATACCTTTTGCAGAGTCCGCGACACTTGAGAGAGATTTAACCATTTAAATATTAGGATAAGCACATTACATGCTGTCTATTGAAAAACATCTCTGGGAGCCATTTTATTCAGCAATAGGACCATCCTTTTAAAGAATTGTATGGGAGAAGACTAGGCAGAATTTTTAAACAGTACCAAGGGATAAAGTTTTTTTTTCATATATTTGAGGACATCGCATTCCGTTGTTACTCGGGCATGAAAATCTGAATTAATGGTGGTCTAACAAGCCTGTGATAAGATCATACAAGCTTCAGTTTCTCTTGTTGGCTTGCACATCATGGACATGATGCTTTTGGATTCATATCATCTAGTTCCCCTCTCCTCTGTCAATCCAAGTTTGGTAAGTGATTAAAAAAACTTTCATCTTCAACCAAAGAAAAAAAATACAAAAAATAAAACAATGGAAAAAGTTTTATAATTTTTTTCTTTAAAAATATTTTTTTTTTTTTTTTGTGATAAAGATAAAAGTACGCACAGGTAGCCCAGAAGAGATAAAACAATATTTACATTCTGGTTGAGTGACGTGAAACGTTCAGTTACTTGTACAGAATTGATGAATGGTAATTGAAATTCCTTAGCGAACAAATGTCAGCAGACATGCATATATATGCAAGCATAATGGAAATGATGTAATTTTTTTTATGGGATAAATAATTTGGACTTTTTCAAGGTCAAAGGGAATGTTATGTAATTTACAGCACAAGGTTCCAAGGAGACATGAAGGGGAAACAATGGTTTTACTCTGGTTTATTTTGATTTTTAAAATTTTTTTTCCATATTCAATTTTTTTTGGTAAATTTTGGTCTATTCTCTCTCACTCTGAGTCTCACAATAAACATATATATCATACACACAAAAACAATTGACAATTAAAGAGTACATGTGCAGTGGAACTGCAGTAGTTCATGTGTAGATATAACAATATGAAACATAACAAGATTCTATGCCACCCGGCCAGAGAATGCAGAAAAATCTGCACATCAGTTTTAAAACTAGACTTGTGTATTAGTGCGCAGTTTTAATTAGTGATAGTATCCAGAGGGTTTATTCGACAGGAATTTTAAGCAGGTGCCCTGAAGCAGGCAGTGAGATGTGTTTTGTTTTCTTAATTCAAGACCAGATCAGGATCTCTGTGTCCAACGTAGACTTGATTCTATTGTGTACAGTAAAAGCCTCATCTAAATAAAGGGCGGTATCTTGTTCTCTTATTCACAGTAAGTCTATCAGGGCTAAACATTATACGCCACGGTATGAGCATTTAAAAAACTGTCATCATCACCTGTTCTGAAATCTGTCATCTTCCAGGCTTTCTTGTGATTTTGGTGCCAATTTCGGACTCTTGAGACCTGCTTCACAAAGGAACACACCTATTGGTATTCATCTGGACTGCAGTGGATTCATTTAAGTGGCTTTTTTTGAGTTTTTAATTTAATTAAGGGGCGTTTGTTGATATTTTTTCGCGGGCCATGAGCACCGTCGTTGATCTTGCTACGCTCCAGTGGTTACAACAGGTAGTTATTTTTTACTTTTTTCTTTCACGTTGAATACCTGAAACAAAAATCTGTGTATCAACAATTTGTTAAACATATCTTATCAACTGCTTGACAGGCTAAGAGGTGTAATTATAATGGAGAGGCAGATCAAGAATAGAGAAATATTTTACAATCATTTTGTTAGCAGTCACTCCCTCTGAGTATAAACCTTCAAGTGGCCTTTATTTGATGTTTTGTTAATTAGCATGATAAATTTATAAATATTCATATATTTTTGTGCATTTTTCTGTGCATGTATTGAAAAGATAATCAAAATTTTGCCCCCCCCTTTCTTTGAAAAATTTGTCTTCCTAAACAACAGATTTGCATGTACTGAAGAGTTTGCATTCATCTTTATTACAAAAAGTATATTTACAGAGCTTTTTAAAAATAATAATAAATTCAAATTTGTGCTTAAACCACAAGAAGAGTGTAACAACACTCGATTTATTTTCACACGCTCTCCAGAGTCAAATTTTAGCTCCACAATCTTTAATGCAACATCTGTTGACAATAATAAAGAAGAGAACTTGTTTTTTATGTGTTTTTCTGACAACTGGGAGCTGGTATCAGAGAGTGTTTTTTGGGGGGTTTTTTTTCTCTCACAAAATAAAAAAAAATATTTAAAACAAAATACATGTAATAGAAATTACTCTTGTATTAAATTCTTATTGTATGTTGACCAATTCTTAGAAAAGTTGTTTATTTTTATGATTTTTGATTGCTGTATCTTTGAAGAAATAAGACAAACCTTATCAAATTTAAGGGAATTTGAAGAAACAATGCACAGAACAGAACATTTTTTTTCTAATTTAGAGCCCATAACAGACAAGTATGAAATTATTGCAATAATAAAGAAAATTAAGATATGCCAATGGATAGTATGCACATGTAACCTATCTTTGAAAACTGTGAAAAAAGTGTACAAAAAAAAATCAAAGATGTGCATCACATTTATTTAAGTTAGAGAGAATAAAAATGCACAACATGATCAAAATAAGAAAGATTCTGTTCATTTGAAATTCTTTTGTGCACACATGAAATTTTAAAAATTGCAGTTTAGATTGCCTGCACATGTGATTATTAAGTTATGACAGCTATATTTTCAATTATTCTGCTGCATCCTTGAGCATAAGTTGTTGTATATAGAGGGATGTATTAAATGAGCCCCACTTCATTTCAAACTTTAATTGTGTATCTTCTTTTGACAATCAGAAATTTGTCCTCTTCATCATAAAATTCTATGTCGGATTCTAAATCCAAGATTGAATACACATGGAGTTTTGACACATTTCTCTAAATGGGAAAGGAAAAAAAAAGTCTTAAGATTTCTCTTGAATAATAAAAGGATTTTTTTTCAATGAAAAGGAAATGAAGTTTTCTATGTGATGAAAATCGTAATCCTTTGAGATGACACTGTCCTGCATTGTAAGTGTCTCGTTATTCGCAGGTTTTTCCTGTGCCTTAAGGATGTGTTGATATGTAATCCTCTTATATTACGCAAGGCTTTCAGGCAGCATAGAAATAATCCATTGATCCTTTAATCCAGCCAGTCAAATCTTCAAGAGTGAAAGTTAAACAAAAACATTATCTAAACGAAACATGGCATTGAATGGGTAATAGTGTTTAAATGATAATATTCCAAGTGTGTTTTGATTGCTAACACTGATTTAATAAACTTGGTTCAAAGAATATGCTCAAAATGTGTTGTGCAATTTGTTTCTGCCTAAAAATTTTTTGATGGAATGTTTTGAAAATGAAATATTTTAATGGTTAAAATTTTCAAATTGAAAAAAAAGGGTAATTGAAAAAAAATGGTTGAAAATGACTGATTTTTTCCTTATACAATTAGTAAATTATGAAAGTTTAAAAAAAGAAGAGTCAGAGAGGGACTTTTGTAAAACTTTACAATTACCAGTGAGTTACTGCGAGTCCTATGGATTTTTAAGTACCTCAGCAGTTTTAGGATAGATGTGTGGGTACTCTCAAAAAAAAAAAAAAAGATTTAATTTTAACATCCTGTTCTTGCAATTTTTTAACTAGCTGTACAACAATGAATGTATAATTAAACATGCTGAACTTATAGAAGCAATAAAGTTCAAAGAAATATTGATCAATCATTCAATATGTGAGATAAGATTTTGTTTATGGTCCGAGATACAAAAGTGACCACATGATATAAAAGTCATTGGTTACCAGGCTACTGACCATTGTCACATGATGTAAAACCCTGAATAGAGCCAGTCCTCAATATCACCATGAAATATGTAAATGATTCAGATTAAATCCTCATCTGATAACTCAACACAATTGCAAATTTAGAGACCATTTAATTCGGCTTTTGATAGCCTCATTTTGGAATTATGCAGGTTCAATATTGCAGCCAATTTCGGCTTGGAAACAGGGCCCATCTTCTTGCTTGACAACCATTTGGTTGTGGTAAAAGTGTTTTAAATAGTGTTAAGCATCAGAAGAGCTATTTGGAAGAATTAAAGAATAAGAAGAGAGAAAATTGAAAACTTGGAAAGTCCTCACGTGATAGGTTATACATACGTACTTTCAAAACAAAAATACCTCGTTAAATAGATTTACACGTATTTGGGCAGCTAGGTACTACTCTCATTTGATACAATTCCTTTAACCCCCCCCCTTCCTTCCCCTTACTCTCCAGTGCTTAATTGTTTTAATTAGGATTTCCATTTTTTGTTCCTGGTGAATTTCCATTTTCAATGCTCACTCTTTCTCTCTCTCCATCAAAAATAACTCATATAGTCTAGATAATTTGTGTTGTTGTTACATTAATAGTAAAACTATGATATTTCTGTGAGGGCCTGCCGAGATAAAGTGATGCTCTAAGATTGCTGATGAAGATTATATTTGTGTAAAAAATTATACGAATTTGATTATAGTGAGCAATCATGTAATCCAGTGGTGGACTGAAATAGCATAGGGTTGGGGAGGGGGGTTTAATAATATACAAATTTGATCATGGTGTAATTCAATGGTGGATCAAAACAATTAACTCAGGGGTGAGGGGGAATTTTATATATATATATATATATATATATATATATATATATATATATATATATATATATATATATATATATATATATATATATATATATATATATTAGGGATGTCAACGAGTACCCGGTTAACCGGGTACTCGATCGAACGTCCGAGTATCGAATACTAAAAACGGTACTTGGTTACTCGGATGTGTATTTTTTCTTATTTCAAGGTACATATTTTTATCAAAAACTTATTAGAAAATAACTCGAATACATGTATGCATACGGGTAATTAGCGTGTCGTCATCTACCCATGTAAACACCCGTTTTTGCCTATGGCTGTGTATATGAAGTAATTAGTGACCAATCACCTGGTACACAGCTGTCCTCACCTATTGTGGTCCTTAATATTTTTTATGGCTTCAATGATTGTTTTTCAGTGAACATCGATTAATATGGTCTATTATCTTCAAATCATTTTTAAATTATTTAGTTAATATACGGCAGTGAAATCGGATGTGCATAGAAATGCATGCCGCTACCCACTTCAAAATAATAAAGATTAAAAAAAAATGTTTAAAGTCAGTTTCCATAGTAAGTTGAAAAAATATTAGACTAGCGATCCAAACAACGTCCGTTCCTCCTCTTTCGCTAGTCTAATCACAAACCAGTGCGTAACAGATTGTCCACCTTAATATAGATCTTAAACAAGAACTGTAAACCATTTGTAATTTTTGATGTATTTATTGCGTCATTTGTGTTTATTTAATAAATAAATTTAGTACTAAAAATCATTTCCGTTGGACTCCATGTTTATATACATTCATAAAACGTGACAAAACAGCTCTGGAGTTTATATACATTCATAAAACGTGACAAAACAGCTCTGGAGTTTAACAAATTAATGATTAAAAATTAACAAAATTGCATTTACATTTTTACCGAGTACCCGGGTACTCGATCGGAAAAACGTCCGAGTAACCGATTATCAAAAATTGACCGATCTGACATCCCTAATATATATATATATATTTGATCATGATGTAGATTCAGATGTGATAATTCAAAGGTGAACCAAAAGTGTTTGGGGTGGGGATGGGGATACTATATATACAAATTTGATCAGAGTGTGTATTGATTTATCCAGTGGGACTTGGTGATGAGGAAGAATAAGATATTAAGATCAGTTTATTTGCATGAAGTTGTGAAACAACTCACTGTTCTGTAGTATTTCTTTTATCTTATAAATTTGAAAACTGTTTGACATTTTCACAATGATTGTTAATAATTTAATTGAAACTTATAACAGCCCACTACCAGCTGTTGGTCTCCGTGCAACATAATATTTGTTGTGTGTCTGTTGTCTCTTTGGAAACTGTCGACGTCTCCTTTTCTGAGTAAAACACCAGCTGATCTTGTCCTAGTGTTGATGAACTTATGGCATTTGTACATAAATAATGCGACTTGGTAATTTTGCCATTTTTCAAGAATGGCTACAACTAGAAATTAATGACAACTTCATTTTGACATTCAGTGTATAGTTAGCTGCCTCTTTTCCACACACAGATTATGTAGTTCTTTCATATGAATACTTTTGCTTGTGTCCCAGATATTTCATCTGTATTTTTTGCAAAATAAAATGTTTACTTCTAGATATAATAAATGAATTGAATAATGAGAAATTGGGTTTTACCGAATCCTTCTTGGTTAATGAGCTGTACAAATGAGGCCTCCCAGTATAGCAGTATGAAGTATGTGGTAGATGGGCTGGTCATTAATTAAGGTGTCAGCTGTTGGAGGGTGACACCTTATGGTATTTCCTCCCCTGGAGCCTCCAGGAGCTGTTTGTTAATTTGTGTATGTATCACTCAGTCTAGTACTTGATGGTGCAGTCTGTATGCATGCAGTGAGCAAATTTTAATTTTCAGTTGCATCATTAAATCACTAAAATAATATTATCAACCA